CTCCTCTGAACTGTTAAATGTCATCTATTTTTTTTACAGTAGTATAGAAGATTTCATCCATTGAGAAGCAATTACAAGAAAAATGGGACATGTTTGTCTATAGTTTAAGTCACTGTTCAATGTGCAATTTTATAGTAAAAAACTGACATCTGCAAGGAGTCATTAATGCTCACTAAATATTTCGGTTTACGGTGTTCTAAATTGTGGAGAGGTGTTTGCTCTCTCCCTTGTGAGCTGAGGGGTACCTCTCTTTATGGAGGCATAATGAGAAAGTGGAAATTTAATGGTCCTCATGGAATTCTGGGTATTCAGCATCTTCTGCCAGAACATGGCTATAAAATAGAAATCTGTATATAAAAGCTAGCTCCTGCATTTTATTCCTCCTTGATTCTGATAGCTCTTATTTCTGCAGATAGTGGTCTCTGCCAGCTGTGTCCTTTCTGTCTTCTAAACCACTCAGGTGGGGATGCTATGTGCAATAATGCGATTGTTTACCAAGGAAAGAGAACTGAACAAATTATAGCAAAGGAGTCTGGGTCTCTGACTTGCCAGCTGTTTGATCCTCTGTCCTTGCTGTTGGGATGAATAAATGGCAAAGTCTATGAACTGTAGGAGATTCTGACACAAGCTATGCTTACTCAGACACAGCTGCTTGCACAGAAATGAGTAAAACAATAAAAAGATAAAAGCAAGAACATTTCCCTAACAACAGAGCAGTTAGACTATATCCATTTATGCTGGATATTAGCCCGTGTACATTAGTAAACTGGGGCAAACTCTGATCTTATGAGATCCAGTCAGTATTTATTATGATAAATAGAGTAAAGGTGAGTGAACGTTACAATTTTGCTCCAAGCCTTAATTTAAAAACAAGTGGACAGATTTGTTCATCCTTACTAGCTAGTGATGGCTGCTGACTAGTAATTGTTACTTTATAAAGACATATGGACTAACTCAGCAGTGCAACCCTATTTATTATGGTGCTGTATTGTAAAACAACAGAAACTGATGAACATGGCAACCATAACACAACAGAACAATTACCATGGAACAATGGAAACAAAAAATGGGTTTCTTGCATATGTACAGTGACTTAAACTCTATGCCAAAAATCATTTAATTTCACAGTGTAGTAAACAGGAAGCTGGATGAGCCTAGAATCCAAGTATTACTTTGCTAGATCTTCATCAGTACCACTTTATTGTTTATGCATCATTTCATATTATTATAGTAGTAAAATCACATTATATAACAAGTTAGTATGTTGCTTCTATAAAGATGGACTGTTGATTGCGTGCAGTAAACCGTGGCTCTGCGTGCTATGGGCTGAGCTGACTGGGTCTGCACGGATTAAATAATGTAAAGAATGTCAATATAATTTTGCATTAATTTAAAAGAATTAAGAGTGCTGGATTTTCTGGTATTTGACAGGCAGTTGCACTTGGCCCCCAAATCTCTGAATGGCATCCCGAGATACCTTGCAAATGCACATACATTGCATTGTGGCGAACTGCCAGAAATAGTATACCTTTTTTCTTTTGCGTTTGGTGTATAAGGCATCCATTCAAAAGACTAGGCTGCCTTAAAGTAGAATTAAACTCTCAAAATTGTTTTCATTTAATAAATCCAGATCAAATAAATATACATTGCTCAGTAAAGTATTTCTTAAAATGTTTGCCCAATTACTTACAATCATCATGTTATCAAACATCTGGCTTCAACTCTATGGGTTGGACTTGATGGACGTATGTCTTTATTCAACCCCAAATACTATGTAACTATGTAACTATGTAACTCCCTCAGCTCGGCTTCCCTAAATTTCCCGTCCAGTACAAGTTTACAGGAGACTGCTCCAGCAGCTGTCTATCTAATAGATTGGAGAACGAAAGAGGGAGGACGGGACATAGAAGGACATGCCTTATGGTGCTTGTGTGTTTGTGGAGACACACACGGCTTACACACAAGCGTGGCTCCCTAGGACCCTGCAAAGAAAAGGAGTCACCCTAAAACAGGGTACCAGGGCCAGTGTTCAGGGAACCAGCTGATTCTGCAGGAAACTAATTATTTTAAACATCAAGGAGCAGCATCCATTGCAAGTGATTTAATCAGCATTAACCCCTTTGCGTCCACTGACGTACATAGTACATCATTGGCAGTGGGCCCATTTAATAAACAGAGTCTGTTTACCTTTGTAAAGCCAGTTGTTGGCTTTACAATAGAAGCGATTCTGGCGGCTCAACTGCTGCCAGATCGTTTCTATGGGCCGATAAAGTGCCCACCCCTGCTCGACACCCCCGCCGTGTTTCCCGGGCTCCGCTGCCCCTCCTTAGGGCCCGGGACCAGCATGTCGGGTGCTGGCGGGAAGCTGGGGAGGAGAGCTGCGAACTTCTGAACTTGTAAGCCCCCCTATTTCATAGCAATTCAAGTAAAGTAAATAATAAAAAAACAGTTTCAAAATATAATATTAAATAAAATAAATGTAAAAATAATTTTAAAAATGTAAAGTCCCCGCGAGCACGCATTCACATACACACGCATCGGGTGCGCCTACATACGAAAACGACATTCATACTACACATGTTGAATATTGCCGCCCACGCAAAGTGAGAGAAATTATTCTAGGACCAATATTTATGTGTATCTCTAAACTGATGACCTGTAAGGGCTTTTAAAGCGTCGTCTATGGAATTTTTGGGATACTGAAATTTGTTGCCATTTCACAGACGCACACAATTTTTGGGTATCTATTAACTCGTTGTAACTTCACCTTTTACATTTTGGAAAATAAATGGGTTATTGTATTTTTGGTCATTAAATGTAACTTAAGTGCATTTTTCACTAAATCTTTCGGTTTGATAAAGAGTTGCACCAATATCGTGCAACATAACAATTTGCAACCGCCACCATTTTATTCTTAAAAACCTTTTTACAATAATATCACTTTAACACAATGCATGTAACAGGCAACATCATGCTTGTTAATACATCACAATGGTGTGAATGGGCCCATATTCTCAGTTTGGCTTAGAAACTTTTGTCCTATAAATTTGATATTAGCTCCAAACCAGCATGTACACTGCTCAGTACTTATCGAGAGCTCTAGATATGAATTTTCTTTTTACACTACATATCATGTTTATATTGCACCTAGACTTTAAAAATCTTACAGGCGCTGCTGACTTTCTCCAGCAAGCTGCCTGTCCCCTCTCAAACTGGCCAGCTAAATTCTTGATGTCTCTCTTCTTGGGCTAGGCACACTATCCCTCAGCATATGCATACAAGATCTGTTGTATTTTAACTGAAAATGCAGCTCTGGCACACTCAAGCATACCTGTGATATTACGTTCACCAACCGGCTAATAACAATTCTGCAAAAAAGGTCTCCCTGGTCTTTTGTCACAATTTATTCTGTAATTACTGCTGTTATTGTGATTATACATTGATCTGCCACTTGGATTATCTTGCCCACCCTGATTTATGCCTCTGTTTTATCCCTGCCAAGATGCTGTCCTTAGCGTTTTTCAGAGTTTGCTCTTGCCTGACTATATGATCCATCTTCCATCACCTGTCTTTGTGTCAGCAGTCACCAGTAGTATAGACTGGTATTCTAAGCCTTAAAGCAGGCCTTTACACTCAAAAATCTAATTCTACCAAGCAGAGGTGCTTACAACAGTCACCCTTTATTCATATGCGTTAAAAGACAAACAAATTGCTATAACTTATTATACAGTGTACTGTTAGCAGTGTTAGGGGTCAAGGATTTCATCTCCAGCTATGACTAAGACTGCGTAAGGCAGAAATGCGTGAGTGGTTGTTCTTTGTACAGATACATGTGGAATAAAATGTGATTCTTCGTGAGCATCACATGCCAGTTTTGCAGTTTCTACTACTATTGAAAGACTTCAATATAAAATGGAGGGGAATGTATCAAACTGGAGCAGACACAATCTGGAGCAGCTGTGCATGGCAACCAATCAGCTTCTCTCTTCAATTTGTTCAGTAAAGATTTGAAAATGAAAGAGAGAGACTGATTGGTTGGCATGCACATCTGCTCCCTATTTTGTCTGCTCCAGTTTTGATAAATTCCCTGCATTGCATGTTATTTTTGTTCTTTGCTCATAGTCAGTGGCGTCACATGGGAGTGCGGGTGTGTGACTCACACCAGGTGACACCATCAGAGGGGGTGACACCAAAATGACTGACAGTCAGTTTGGTGTCACCCACCCTGAAAAGTCAGGCACTTTGTGTGTGTGATGATGTCATGTATGCGTGATGACGTCCCAGCAGGGTGTCACCCGCTGGTAACTCAGGGTGACACCATGCCTGGGGACGCCCCTGATCATAGTTCCCCTTTTTAGTCTGGTGCAGGGGAGCTTACACTACCCACTGATAACACACAAACTCTATACAACCAGTGGCATACTGTATATTATGATTTGTTTCTGCTTTTACATAATTTCAAATATCACTTATTTACTGGTTTATCCATTCACTTTTTCCAGACTGATCCAATAATGTACTACAGCTATACACATCTCTGTACTATTTTGATAAATGTGCCCAGTTGGCATAGCTTGCATGGAATTATATTCATAGCAAAGACGAAACATTTGCTACATTTCCCATTATTAGGCATGACATATAACTATAAATTTTAAAACAAGAGGTGGAAATAAGACGCGATTTTAGCATGTTTGTCTTTTAAATGCATTTTAAGGACCTTGCTTACAGCAGACTGTTAATAAAACAATGAGATCAGTATTTTGCTTCTTTTTTTATAAAGGAAATATTGGTTTCAACAATGTTTCCTATTTGTAAAGCATGTTTGGCAATTTCTATATTCCCTTTCTCCATTCTGTTGCAAAGGTAAAATAATCCATTGAAATCTTCTATGTAGTTGGGTTTTGTCAATGAAAAAAAGACTTTGTGTCTCTGGTTAAAATGGACCTGAACCCGGAGGAAGGACACAGCAGCCGGTGGAGGTTTACAAAAGCGTCATCATGTCATAGGGTCTTCTAGCCAAACCTCAGATGAGGGGCCTTCTGGGCAAGAGGTTGCGAATCCACATCTTTGGTGCCTTCGCCTTTTCATTGAGCGTTGATGCCCTGTACAAGTATGGTGTGGCTGAGCCAAGGAAGAAGGGGTATGCCAACTACTATAAGAACTATGATGTAGTGAAGGAGTTTGAAGCCACGAGGGAGGCTGGAGTGTTTCAGGGTGCGAGACCAAAGGGAGAATGAGACCCCCTTTCAGGAAGATTCTGAATTCCCCCATCTGTGCGCAATGCTGGACATACCTGATGTGTACCTCAATATCCAGGGCAGGTGAACACCACTGGACGTATTTCTACTGTTCTGTAAATGTGTTAAATAAAACATTGAAAACCTGAAAATGGACCTGAACCCCGACGTGAAGATTTGATGTGCTATAGGGAACATTTAGAGACGTTTATTGAGCCTAAACAGTAGCCTGAAAATGAAAAACAAAATTCTTGAAAAATAGCAGAAGTCTTCCTATCACTGCGCCATGAGCCACATAGCTGAAAATCTGCAGTGTAAAATCATCTAAGGCACTGCTGCCTATGACTGCTAGTCTCATGAAATTGCTGCTAGTTCATTAATTCTGTGGATCTGTACTTTCTACATACAGTATGTCCTACAGTTTCTTTAATATTCCCCCAAGCAGTTATCAGATAACCAATCATAAGTAGAGCAACTCTAACCTGAGGAAGAAAAGGTCTATTCCTCTAACAAAATGTCCACCTCCAAACTCAGTGTGGAACAAGGCATGGTATGTCAGTAGTGGGAAAACCACAGGCAATGCTGGTGACTAGTCATTTGCCCTCAGTTTGACCTTTTTGGGTACGGCTTTCCAGGACAGGTCTTCTTTAAAAGATGACATGCATGGATTGTCCATTCACATTGCAGAGGTCTGCATTACTACTCTGTAGTATTCCGTTTCCAGATATAGCTTCTCATGACTTGGAACAATGTTGATGCTGTGGAGGTACATCCAACTCCATATTCTCAGCTCGACAAAACAATACCTGAGAAGGAATATAGGTGTACATGATGTTCCATTACAAACTGTCAGCTTAAAGGCTCCTCTTCCAGTACAACTCAGTCCCAGCAGAGCCTAGCTCTACAGGGATTGCTTATTTTCTCCTTTAAGCTGCATGATAAATCAACCTGACATATTCACCCAGAGTATAATCTGTTTGGCTGTAAAACTCAAACTCAGGGCTCCTACACTGTGGGTTTTTATAAACATGCTCTGTTAGTCTGCACTGCTCAAGTGAATGAGCTTGGAAGATGGATGAGTTGGTATCTGAGGCTTTTTAAAGGCCTTGAGGATTGTCTCCAAAGTATTATTAACCCTTTTGGAGTTTGAGACACACTAAGAAAGCAGAAAGAACCAGTACATGAACACCGCACTTAGTGTAAAGGGAATGCTTTAGCGACAAAATGCAAATAAGTCAAATAGTGACATTACAGTGTAGAGATGGAAAAGCCCAATAGCATTCAAGGGAAAAAAATGAGCATCTGAATAATCTTAAAATGAAAACATAAAAGAGGTTTATAGAGTGAATAGTCTTTACTGAAGCATTTCTCCTTGTTGATGAACTAGTGGAAAGCACCAGTGCTTATAAGTGACATTATTTTAAATGGGAGACTTTTACAAAGTTAGCACCACTGTTTTGTTTAAAAGAAAGCAAAATCTGTTCTGTTTACTCTAACTGTCATTCTCTCACCTTGCTTCTGGATGAAATATGTTCCCTGCCAGCTTGCCTGCATTATACAACTGGAAAAAGAAATGAGGCAATGCAAGTATTCTTGGCTTCATTTAAAAGGCTGGGTGGCACATGTAGATCTTTGTTTTAGTGGCAAGGTTAGAGCAAATACTACTGTTATGTGTTAACACAAGAAAATCCTCTGAAATAGGATGTTCAAACTAATTTAACCCTCTAGTGAATCAGGCCATATGTGTCTCACTGGCTTATGAAAATGCTATGGCGACTTTTTTTTACCTGGTTCCACATTGAACACAACCCAGTGTCAATGAAGCCATGCTTGATGTGCATGCTGTTCATGATTGGATGCAGATGGCTATAGGTTTCAACAACTCCTAGAAACATTATGCTGTACTCAAGATTTTTACCTTGCCTTATAAAGCAGTCTTGAGTATTACTCATAGCAGTCTTGCTTGATATGTATTCTGTTTATTTATATGTTTAGGCCTTCACCTTCATCAAAACGGGAGTATTATTATAATGAAATAAAATCATGACTATGTCAAATTAAATTAAGTGTGCGTGAAAGGTCAGCATTGGTCCGGAAATTACATATGGAACAGGTAATCGTTTGTAACAAGTTTGGCGGATATTGCAGTAAATAAATCAGTACTATCTAACCTTAGACATTTATACTCATAATTTTTGTGTCTTCATTTAACTGGAGTTTTTTCATAAAAACTAGCTGTAACTCTAATAAAAAAAGAGCTTGAAGTCAATCAGCTGCAACAATGAAAACAAATACTTGTAGTGGCTGGGAAGCAGTGGAGACTTTTCTACTCAAGGGCCACTGGAAAGGTAAGTATATTCACTCTTCTTTTGCATGTATGGTTTTCTGTACAAGTGACCTTTTAAGGATTAGTACTTAAAGTAGAATTGAGGCCTAGTTTTAGTTAGGGCAAAAAAAAAAGCTGACAGAGGCGATAACCTTCCATCTGTGTCCCATTAGGGAGATTTCCCTTTACTTCCTGTCCAATTGCCACAACAGGAAGTGAGAATAAATCCTTCCGAAGAGAGGGAAATCCCAAGTCATCAGTGGTACCAGAACTAGCATACCCATTGGAAGATTTCCCATCTATTCCTGTACAAATGACAACTCAAAATTTGAGGGTTTTCTTCAATATCCCTTTCATTGATAATGGTCAACAGGACAAAGAGGGAATTAATCTCCCCAATGAGAGCACAGACAGCAATAAAAAAACAATAAATACCAAACAAACAAAATAATTCCTATCCATTCTATCCAAACCGAAAGAAAAAATCGCACTTTAAAGTCCATTTCCACCTTTGTAAGTGATTAGCAATTATTGTGGTAATGTAGAGGTGCAGTAATGATGATATATGTGGGCACATTTTCATGACTCACATTGTAAGCTTTCTTCATTTTTTATTAACTTTTTGTTAGGCCTGAATCCTAGAAATTCAAAATTTTCTCCACAGGGAACTCAGTCTAACACCGGGTTTGGGTTGTAATCAGGCTGTAAACAGCTGCCCCCCTCCCTGTGATTCTGTGTAACACTAAACACCAGCTCTGCACACAATACACTGTCCAGG